TGGGCCAAAGACCCTTAAAAGGGAAACTTTTTTGAGGAAAATTCCCCCTTTCCCCCCCCCTTTCGGGGCCCCCTGTGTTTTTTTAAACTGGGGGAAAAAAACCAAGGGGACCCCCCCGTCCCCAGGTGGGGGCCCTTTTTTTCCCACCAAATTTTGGGGGGGGGTTTTCTCCCCCCCCCCCCCGCCAAGCCCCCCCCCCCGGTGTTTGCCATCGGGGTTTGGGTTTTCGTCGCTTGGCAACGACGTTGTAAAACAAGCCCCCCACTCGGTGTTTGCCATCGGGATTGGGTTTTCGTCGCTTGGCAACGACGTTGTAAAACAAGCCGCTCCCCCCGGTGTTTGCCATCGGGGTTTGGGTTTTCGTCGCTTGGCAACGACGTTGTAAAACAAGCCCCCCACTCGGTGTTTGCCATCGGGATTGGGTTTTCGTCGCTTGGCAAAGACGTTGTAAAAGAAGCCAATTCACTTCGTGAACTCGACAACCAGGTTACCGTTTTTTTTTTTTTACCTCGTTTTTTTTTTTTTGGCGGTAACCATAATGGTGGTCGAGTAGATCATGTTGTGCGGGGTCGAGAACCCTCACTCCGCGCAACGGGGGATGATCGCACGACGTTGTGTTAAAATGGTCAAGCTTCCTCGAGGCAGTTACACAGTGCTTACAACTGTCTCTGGAAGTGAAAGCACCAGAAAATAAATTAAGTCATACGTAGCTGTCATCCGTACGCAAGGAAGTAAGCACAATATGCCGAACACCCTTAGCAGGATGCAGCTCACCCTTCATGCGACTCGCCAAATACCTCACGGCGCTTCGCGCTTGGTGATGTGAGAGCCTGGTCCGGTGAGAACCCGGCGTGCTCCGTCCCGGCGTTGTAGGGATGCGAGGTCAATGGTCAAACGACTACGGCATGCACGACTATGAGTACACCCCCCCCCCCCGCCAAGCCACCACACACCGTCACCCCTTCCTGCAAGAAAAAAAGGGCAGAACCATGTGGGGGTTGGGCCACACGAGATCCGGTATCTGTATCTGTCGGCTGCTCACCCGGTTGATGAGGCATTCTTCCTCCGCCTCCACTTGTTGGCTCTTTTCACCCCACAAGCGCCCCATGGAAACAACAACACAGCAAACGCGGTGTCCAGAGAGGAGGTGGAAATGTAAAGAATCAGCACCGGGGCGAGAGCGATGCGGCGGCAGGATAGAATGGGGATACCGAAAAACCCGCCCATATGAAACACAGAAGTGTATGGTACACGGAAAAAGCCGTCCGACACGGTGTGGATGGGATGGGACGGCGGAGGGGCGAAATGGGTGAAACTGGCCTTGGTAAAGCAGCAGAAGTAATTGGAAAAAGTGCCGCGATACTTGAGCGATGGTGTGCTGACACACTTGGGGTTGACCCACCACCGTAAAAGGCGAAACAATCACACGCAACCACGGTAATGCGCTGTCCGCGCGAAGCTTGTACTCTTACTCAAAAAATCCCATATATCGGTAGTTTAGCTGCCAGTTAGGGCAGAAAAGGCCAACCCATGCTCCATTCACATTCATACGCTTGACAACACCCCCCCCCCGCGCGCGCGCAAAAGCACAGTAGCCATCGCTCTTGACAAGGACGCCTTTGTGAGCATGTTAAATGTGTTAATGTGAACCCATGAAAATAGAGAGGGGTTCAGTATCCCATCCCTAACTCTAACCCCCAACCCCTTACTAAAAGCAGGGTTAGGTTAAATACCCTGGCGAAGGCTGCTGGCTCTGACCCCTGGGGCGTGGACTTCATGTCTGGGTGCCCAAGGACCAGACCATGTGCGAACAACAAAACAGCGGGAGGGGCAAACAGCGTCAGAGCGTGTCGAGAGCACTCACGATCTCTACGGCAGACTTCCTCAGCTTGACCAGCTCTCCCTCCAGGTGTGAATTCTTGTGCTTCTCCATCAGGAGTTCCCGACGCAGCACCGAGACCTACAGAATAAGCAGGTGCATGTCGTTGCTGTCGTCATCACATTAAAAAACCGTTCCGATCTCTCTACTTGTACCCAGTGCCTTCATCTGTGTACGAAGTACTTCGAAGTAGATGGCATGGGCGTTTGTTTTTCTCCTTCTCGTTAAGTTATTACAACAAAACAAGTCTCACTCGAGAAGTACGCGGTACGGCCGCAAACACGCTCGCGCGCTCAAAACGAGCTGTTTCGAGAGAAGACTGCGAAAGCGTCGACCTTCCCCCTATAATAGTGTACACCCACCCGCCGCTTCTATGCAAAGATGCATACGGCAGTCGAATATAACATTCTGCGGAAAGTCTCACCCAACTCGTGGTCTCACCCTGCCTGCAACAGGCAGGGACATCGTCGCAGCAGCGACAAAGGCCGCCCTACTCTACAGGGCTCACTCACCTCCAGCTCCGGAGAGCCCGGTGAAGTCGTGCAAGACGGGAAGGATGCCGGACGGGTCGGGGTAGACACCGGCGGAAGAGGGGGTGCTGCCGCCCCCGTGGTGGTGCCACCACCAGAGGCAGGCGCGTTTTCCTGCATCGTCCGATCAATGCGCCTCCTCTCTGCCTCTCTCGCTCTGATATCGAGGGAAGAAGCACTCACGCTCCTTCGTTACTCACACGGGCCTCTCTCTCTCTCTCTCTCTCTCTCTCTCTCTCTGTGCTGTTGGAGGAACAACTCCGTATTCGTTTCCCACACGTGCCTGTCTCTCACTCTCTCTCTCTGTTGTGAGGGAACAACTCCGTCTTCGCTTCGTAGACGTGCAGCAAGCAGCGATCTCTCCAATCGGCCGCCGGGGACGGCGCTTCCGATCAGCGTTTCCCTTTCAAAGGAGTTCACTGGGATCGAGTGTTGAGAAGCTTACCAGCGCACCAGTTAGATACTCTTCGGGAGGGGCTATGGGGCTCGCAGTACCGCGCCAAGGAGAGGGCAAGCCAGCTTCAACTGGCCCTTGGTGCGGATGGCTCGTTCTCTCTCTCTCTCTCTCTCTCTCTTTCTCTCGCTCGCTCGCTCGCTACGTTGACGAGAAGGAGGAGATGCAGGAAGATAGAGACGTAGAGGGAAAAATCGCAGCACCACAGCGTGTTGGCAGGAGCACTCTACGATCCTTGCTTTGCTGTCTCTCTCGGTACTGCTGGTAGCAGAGAGTTGCAGCTGAGAGCTGCAAGTTGAAAGTTGAAAGCTGCCTGGAGGGAGGACGCAGAGTCTACCAAAATGTCGTGTCCTGTGGATAGGTTTCCAGATCGGTATGCGTACCCCCTATCATAAGGATCCCCCCGCCTTGAGTATGCATACCATTGCCACATCGCACCGTCATTCCTCTCAAGAGCAAAAACCTGGTAGCTATTTTCAGGTAGCTGCTGTTCTCTTTCCAACTCTGTCTTGTGGCGAGTGAACCACACATCGCCGACCATGACGGTCAGCAAGGGTGCAGCACAGCACGAACAGCACCATCAGCCATTAGTCTCTAACAGCGCAGGGGGGGCAAACCTCTGCTTCCAGCACACACACATACACCCATTGTTCCTAAAGATGAGATTCTCATTGATACCGGCAACAACCCAAGAAAAAACACAGAGCATCAGCTCGATGCCTTGCGTGACATTCAGTGTGATAGGCCCTCTTTCCAAGCCCAACAACAAACGGGCCTCGAGAGCACCTGTTAAAACTGAAGTAGACAAGGCTGACTATGGTACTACAGTACTCTAATATTACAACAATGGACGTAAAGAGAAAGCATCACATCCCAAGAAAAAGACAATCATGTCGGCTGATTTGGCTACATTTCCCTCTCAAAACGGCACGCGAAACAGGCCGTATTTGCGTGCTTCCACGGTGATTGACAGCGGCTTGCGCCCTTACTCCCACGCCACACAAAAAAAAATATCGCAACAGGAATGAGAAGCCGGCCGACAACAGGTAGAGACCCAACAAAGCCTACGGATGACGTTGGCCATCTAACACGGAAAATAAAGACTGGGGCGCGTCAATGAAAAAGAGGAACACCACAACAACAAAAAAGAAAAGCCCAGTCTGGAAGGCGCGGGGGATAGAGACACCGGGCGCGTTGGTCAGCTGGAAAATCAAATAAATACTGAAGACACCACACGTTGTAGTGCCTCGGGTACGCCTGTATGTGTTGCCTTCGAAAGAAACCGCCAGCAAAAAATCTTGCATCGTCTCGAAACGCCAAAGGACACAAAAGTACCACACATCAACAATAACTACACCAACAACAGCAGTATCACACAACGACGCTCACGCTGTGTACACCCCCCCGGCGAGAGTTCTCGTTCGCCACCAGAAAAACGAGAGAAACGAGAGAAAATAACAAAGGAGGGTTGGTTCCCATTCGCGTTTTCTCGTGTTCGAAGAGCGTGCTTCACGTCCGCAACACAGCAGAGGCTTTGGAAAAGAAACACACACATCACGGGACCGATGACATCATCACAGAAATCGTGCATCCGAAAATCAATCTAGCTCTCGGTCTACCCCTACCCAACAGCAGGCACGATCGTGTCCTCGTACGTATCTCCCGCATCGCTGATCAAACCCTCCACCGTCTGCCGAGCACAAGAAGCGGGTGCCAGGGGAACCATCCAGGGCATTGGGCACAAGGGGGCGCAACAAACAGCGATGGGAAAATGCTATTGGGACGGAGCAAGAGCAGTTTGGACATTCGAATTTTGCTGGTCATCAGCCGTCGAAACTGTGAAGACGAGTCAGCGTTTTGTATTTGTAGCAGCGGTCTGTCCAGACCAGTTTGTCGACTCCTTCGCCGAAAAACACTACAAGCACAGGCACGGACAAAGCAAAAAACTCTGTCGGTTTCGTATTGTAGCTGCAAGCACCAACACGCCCCACCACTCGCGAATGTAACCCCCTGCGAGGAAGGGCGTAAGTCGCCGTCCCAACATTCCCTAGCAAGCACGTCGACAGAGAAAGCCGTTCTGCTTCTAGACGCTGCTGCGGGTGCCCGGCCTGTTTGGCTCTCTCCCTGCCTCCTTTGCCTATGGGTCTCCAGGCTGTAAAAGGTGACTACATAGTCGTTTCCCAAAAGCAATGCATAGACCCCCGAACCATCCTACCAGGTGGACGAGGGTTCCCTGCACGCACGAAAATACCATAATTTCCACAATTTTCAAAGAGCAAGTACGGGGTCCCATCCTTCATGTTACCGTCCCAGGCCTCTTCATACGGTAGAGCTTTCCGACAACCTTGTCTACGCCGACAAGTGCATGGGCAACAACATGGTGGCAACGCTCGGTTCCGTCCCTCCACGTTGCCGGGACAAGGCCCCGTAAATCATACAGGTACAACCGTCGCAAAACAACGACCACCTACGCGCCTCACCTCCCCCGCATACATAGACAGCCGTTTCGCGAAACTGGTGAAGAAGTTCCCCTTCGAGTCGGTCCCTGTCCACACCACATAGACTGTCAGCTGGCACAGGGCGCTCACTTGATCTTCAACCCCGTCCTGCCCACCCGGAAGAGAACAAGGGATTCGCGCCAACAAGAGCAATTCGCAGAGAGCAAAACAAGGGCAATTGTCAGAGAGCAAAAGCAAAGGCAGATGTCACAGAGAGCGAGGGCGGCAGTCAAGCGTTGTTATAGCTCTGACAACATATCGTATCCGTTCGCGAGGGCGCAGCCAGCCATACCTGGATGTTTACTCCGCCGCTCCTACACCACGCGAAAGCATCGGAAGCGGAAGCAATCCAAACAACCAAGCAAACGTGACCACAATCGGCAACTACGAACAAAGCAAGGGAAAAAAAAGTATTCCTCCAAATACTCGAGCCACCCTGAGCGTTTACACGGCGAGGGGGAAGACGATAGAGGGTGATCATGCCTCCACAAGTACAAGCCGCGCCCGGGTAAACGGCTCCGTTGCGCATCGTCCACAAGCCCTCAACACCCAAACGTCACCCGTTTGTATGTAATAGCGTAAGCGCCAGCACTCGAGAACCTCTATCTACTTTTGGGTCGAGGTTGGGGTTCTTGAACCCTATTTAGGGCTATGCTGCAAGTGGCCGCAATGTAAATTTCAGTGCGAGGGGGTTCTCAACCGAGCTCACAAGTAGTGCTCAAGTTCTTAGATACTGAGTTTTAGAGGCTATATCAATTGCTCAACTGACTGCCAAGTTATCTTAACTGACCAAGTTATCTTAACTGCCAAGTTGTCTTAACTGCCAAGTTATCTTAACTGCCAAGTTGTCTTAACTGCCAAGTTGTCTTAACTGCCAAGTTGTCTTAACTGCCAAGTTATCTTAACTGCCAAGTTATCTTAACTGCCAAGTTGTCTTAACTGCCAAGTTATCTTAACTGCCAAGTTATCTTAACTGCCAAGTTATCTTAACTGCCAAGTTATCTTAACTGCCAAGTTATCTTAACTGCCAAGTTGTCTTAACTGCCAAGTTATCTTAACTGCCAAGTTATCTTAACTGCCAAGTTATCTTAACTGCCAAGTTGTCTTAACTGCCAAGTTATCTTGACTGCCAAGTTATCTTAACTGACCAAGTTCTTCAGGTAACTGCAGGCACGAACTCTGTACAAGAGAAATTAGTACCCCAGGGCGCTGCGCTGTCCCCGGAGCTCTACGCGCACGGCCGGTCTGTTTGCAAGTCGGACCGACATCAGTCGGAACTATTGCATCGTGCCAAGTAGTATGCAATACGTATCCGACACGTCGTTCGTTGCTCTGTGATATGGAGCGAAACATAATGTTCACAAAAACTCGAACACAGTTGAGCATTCGATAAGGGTGTATGCATATAGGTGAAACGGCCCTCGACGCTCCCCAAAAACAGACAAGTTGGGTTGGGTTGGACAAACAACGTCAAGCGCATCGACGTATCCACCATCATCGCGCTAGTTGTGCCTCAGGGCGCCTGGACATTCTTCGCCATCTCGGGGGGCCACTGGCAGCCACGGCGGCAGCAACAAGCCGACATCACACATCAACAACCCCCACGATTCTCGCTTCAGCACCTGGAGGCAATCCGAGTCGGGCCAGTAGCAGTCTTGGCCATTGCCTTCGCCGCCTATGAGCTGTCCCGTGTAGTCGTACGTGTTGTCCTCGCACTGCGAAGAGCCGCAGAAGTGGCACCCGTCGTCCCACGAGATACCGGTCACCTGGCACGACGGAGGGAGAGGGGAAGCACTTCTGAGAGGAGCGTTTTCATGGAAGTAACGCCCTGACGACTATTCGTACCAGTGTTGAGAGCGAGGGTCGTGAGCACTTCGGAGAGACGGGTTGCTCACATCCTGACGACTTTTGGACCGCCTTCGCGCGATCTATAACTCAATGTGGAAATAGAACACGGGGGGGGGACACAGACCCTATTCCAGAACCCTACCCCAACTTCCCCGATTGCGTGCTTTATCCAACATGTTTAGCTCACATAATACGAAAAACCCTGAGAAGGCTACTGCGACTTTTCGTACCATTGCTAAGGGCTCCAAGTGGCACATCTCTTCTTGTCTTTGCTGTGTGAGCGAATGCGGTTGGTTTGTTCGGATCCTACCCCCCCCTGCACAACTCCAAACCGCCATCGGCCCACATATTTTCATCCCTCTCTCTCTCTCTCTCTCACTCTCGCTCTCCCCCGCCCCCGCTCTCTTCCCCCTTTTCCATCCATCCCCCCACCTAGTCCCTAGTTCCCCTTCGGCACGCATCTCTCTTCAGCCCGCCGTCTCACCTCTCCCTCGTCGACAGAGATGATGGCCGTGTGGAGAGGAAACGTCTTCTCCTCCTCCCGTAACCGGAACGCCTTCTGGAACGAGTACTTCCCCATGCTCTCCACGTGCACCCCGACCTCGGTTCCAAACGTCGTAAGGATGGGATCGTCCTCGATCACTCTCGAAGCGTTCCATGCTACCGACAGCAACACATCAGAACAGAGGGTCCGGTCGGTGGCGCGGCAAGAGGACACAAAAGGGTACTTACATTACTTACATACATATCTGGTACACAAAACACATGGCGGAAATACTCGTGCACAAAGGTAAGCGGGTGGGTGGTGGCGTTTACTCCCGAGACAAGAGCGGCCGTCTGGGAACGGGCGCGGAAACCAAGGCTTGATCAAGCGCGCGGGGGATGGTTTGACCAGCGCGTGGCTGGAAATCGCAAAGCAGAAGACCTCCAAGGTTGTCGAAAGACACTCGTGCAAAAACGTAAGAAGGGCTCCGAGGTTGTCGAAAGATCCTCGTGCCCACAACACTGCACTTCGAGGAATCGATCCGCTCTAGTCGGAAGTCTACCGCCGACGCATACCCAACCACAGGAAGGAACAAATACCGGTGGACCAAGACCTGACCTGACCGCACTGCTATCGAAAACAATTCAGGCGGCACAACACGGTCGTCTCGCGGGCTGTCCCAGAAAATTACAACACGCCGAAACCGGGTACGCACACTTATTACGCGCGCGGGCGCACGAAACGAGCAGCAGCGGACGCTCGAAAACTACTCACATCCCTTGACGCTGAAACGGCTGAACTCGTCCGCGTCCGGAAGGATGAGGACTTGGGAGTAGAACGTCAGGTCCGCGTCCACCTCCCAGCCCAGGCCGTTCACCACCAGGCACACCGAGGTCTCTTCGCCGATCGTCACGTCCGTCTTCCCGGAGGAGAGGACGCACACATCTGTCGCACAACACATCGTTGGGGCGGCGGGGGGGGAGCGGGTAAACGCATGCCATAGACCGTAGATCTCGCCTCCCGGGACGGAGCGATACGTCGGGTTTTCGCCGGCCCAGGCTAACTATAACGAGGACGAACCAGAAGCTGGCCATCATCCTCGGGGGGGGGGGGGCTTCATCATCAGCGGAGCCGCCAAACAGAAACACAGAAACAAGCCGTGATGTTGGGGTGTTGGAGCTGCAGTAGTCACTTTTGTGGAATGGAACCACGCAAGCCTTTCCCGTCGTGGCTGTTTCCTGTAGTCACTCCCCCCCCTTGTCAAAACGCCGAATAGGGTGCAGGATTTCTCGCCTAAGTCACTATCATGTCGTGTTGCAGATCTTCGTGCCACTCGCGAAAACGCTCAACACATGATGGCATGTGTATAAAGGCTATCGATTTTATCGCGGCGCCAATTTCGATTTCGAAACATCGCTGCTACCCCGCTGCCCGCACCATTTGTCGGGTGAATGAACGTAACATCGCAGCAGTAAACGTACTAGGCAACCCGACGATGAGGAAGACCTAGAACTACACATTGAGTTCCAACACGCCGTGTTCGACGAGAAACAGCGATATGTTCGTCGCCCTTTTCATTGTCAAAATTTACCAATGAATGGAACAGGGCGAGGATAGTCGGTAGAACGGTATGTCCGGCTTCATAACCTCTCCCCAGAACCCCAAACTAAGAGCCGTCGGTGAGCATCTCTTAGGGTTACCTCGTGTAAACCGTATTTTTACGGTTCGGTGCTCAATTCGGCTTTATTATATGTGTGTTGCTCTTGTGATTGGGCAGCTTTGAAAGTGATTGGGCCATTGCCCCCACCCCTCATATCAAAGCTGGGATAACCACCTAATGCTGACACTTCGCGTATTGCATGCCAACTCGTCACACATGCTCAAGATCATGCTGGCATCGCTTTCTTCAGCTCTAAGCTGATGCACAGCCTCAACAAAAATCGCTACGCCAAAAAAACGGGGTAAGGGCCCAACCACATTCGACATGGGCAGCTAGTGTAAAGAGCAACACGAAAGCCTCTGAATGAACAAGACCAGGATCTGTGGTGAAAACGTATCTACAAAATATCGTCGACGTCAAGCTGATGTCGGCATCCGAAGCAAGTTGGTACATCTAGAAGGAGACAGCCGGTCTGCCGCTTTGGCGTGTTGCAGTCGGTACTCGTACACTCTGTTAGCGCAGTCTTGGCGTGGGGCATACAGTATTGTATCGCAATCAACGTCCTATCGCGCGTGCCGGAGCTAAATGTCCATGTGCTGCAAGCAGCGTGTTCCTCAACATAGCATCAACCGCGAACCTGACTTTGACCGTGAGACGTTGTGCAAAAATGTGAGCGTGCCCGCTTTCTAAGTGTACTGTCGTCGGCTCCCCCGACTCTGCCAACCGCAGGCGAGATTGAACGATATATTGTTCCAACTCCGGATCGAGAGCACCTAATAAGAGAAGAAGAGAACATCACTACTGCTGTATGCAGCGCTACCCTGCAGTTGACTCCTTTGCGTGCGTGTCCGGGAGGGGGGTATCATTTCCATGAGGCCCCTTGCGTATGTACTCTTGATACTGCAGCGACAGCGGACAGACATCTTGAGGAAGATTGTCATAAAACTTCCAACTAATTATTAGTCAGCAGACATCCTCCCTGTGGACTAGAGGACACGGATACAACCGAGATCGTAGACGCTTGAAGGACAACTGACGGTGGGGTGTAAGTACGCCTTTGTCGTATATCTCGAATGGGAAGTCTTTCTGTGTGTGTTTTTATTATTCGTTAATAGGCAAAATGGTATGTTCTGTGATCGTTTCGAAGTGGTGTATCTTCGTTGTTCGTTGGAGGAAGCTTTGGGGCTCCCCAACCAACCAACCAACCTGCCTGGACCTACCCAAGCTGATGATACCCCGTTGTCGGTGCCATTGGATACAGCAGTTACTACTATAACTTTTCCCGTGACTTTCGGGCTATCTCACGAGAGCTGTCACATCTTTGGTATGCCACCGCCGACAACCGGCTGAAGGGTCTCCCCCTTGTGAGCGACGCCATCAGCGTGATTTTACTTCGCTTATAGGTATATGTATGATAGTCCGGAGAGTTCTCTACCCCTGTACTTGCGCTCTGTACCACTACGGAGGCGGACACAAACCACCAAAAGGAACGTGGCCAGCGCGGCAACGACGCCAGAGCACCAACAACAAACCACGACAAGTCATCCGCCCTGTACACACGTACACCCCCCCTGGGGGAGACACAACAAAGGCGTAAAGGGCTACATATGTGCACCCTTCGCACTTGTTCGCACCGGTCTTTTTTCCTTTTCGGAATTGAAATGAGTACCTCTCCTGTCTGCTCTGCGGTCAAAATCATGGAGAGCAGAGAGGGAGGCTTGGGCCGCAACAAGCAGTGGCCTACCTGCGACTGCACCCCTTCGTCCGAGCGCCAGGACGCCGGCCGCCGTTACCGCTACCGCCCTTCGCCAGCTGCACGTTGCCCGGCGGCGGGAGTTTCTCCTTCCATTTGCCATGTGATGTTTAGCCGGCGCCTCAAACCCTCCTTCTCCGGCGTGTTCGTCTGCGGCCGTTAAACCTTCGGGGTCCTGCTCCCCACGCACGTGTGGTTATGTCCCTTTCTCTCTGCCTGTCGCTGGATGGCACTAGCTGCACTGCCATCTCTCAGGATGGACCGGGGCACCGCGCGTTCTGTTGTAGAGCTCCGCGCATACCTATTTTCTACAATCTGCGTCCCGCGGCGCTGGAACACGCAGGATGATGAGGTTATAGCAGACAGAGCAGTGCCACCTTTGTGGAGAGAGGAGGAGCAAGGACAGCGCAACCATGGTGGTATCGGTGGTGGCGAAGTACATGCAGGCGTACAGGCAGTTCGGCTTGAGGGCGGCGCTTACCAAGATGTACACGGTGCGTGATGGTTCGTGTACATTCGTGTACAGCAGCAAAAAGGGCGTGATGTAGACAGATTGAGGCTTGGTAGGAGAGATGAGGTATGCGTACACACGATGACACCGGTGTAAGAACATCTCTCTCATTGCCTTGGTGCTGTTGTTGTATTGCCGGACATTCCGTGGCTCTCCATTGTGGTGTATTGCTGGTGGTCAAGTCCGTCTCTCGCTGTGTTTTTGTGTTGCCGGCGGCGGGACGATTCGAGGAGCCCTCGCTTGCATGCCATCATGCCCCCATCGAGTCGGTGTGTTTTACGAACCCAACGCCGAGAGTCTGTAACCATCGCGGCCTGTGTAGCTTTGTTTTGGTCGGTTGTGAGTACATACCTGAATCGTCAGGGCGCTGATGGTTTACAGGACGAATTTGAGTGAAATCTGTGGAGTGGGCATCGTGTATCCGTGTGTCTCACGGTCGGCACCTTTGCTACTGCTGTAGGCTCTCACCGACAGTCGTATCGCCGTTACTCCCCAGAGAAGGCAGAGGCGGTTGCAGGGCTGACACGACTCGGTAGATTGATAGCGATAGTCGGAGGAACATTGGTCTACACGACTTGTTTGTGGAGTGTCACTCACTGCTGTTCCCCCGCAAGAGGAGCATTTCGGCACCCCGTGAGAGCAGCAGCAACACCGTCCCTTCACACCAGTTACTCAAGTTGATTCGTTGAGCACATCTAAAAATATGAAACTAAATACATGGCGTGCCGTCTGAACTGACCCGACCGCAATGCGGCCACTCGATTCTCGCAATGGCCCGAAGATGCAGCGGTGCCAGACATGTATCTTCCGTACAACTACAACGTCGTTTACCTTTGTTCATTTTTGTCTCCAGCAAGGGTCGTACCAATTTCAATGGTCCAACGCCCACGTTGCTGCGGCGGCCGTAGATGCTGGTGTTCGCCGTCTGTCACCGCACACCTTCTTACCGGGCATGCTATTATTACGGCACCCCCGTCCGGAAAACACGCTTTCCTCTTGCCGCCGCCGCCGCCGCTGCCGCCGCCGCCACCACTGCCGCAATGCCGCCACGAAAGGTCGGGGACATTAAGTTCGGAGACTTGAAAGGGGAGGATTCGCACGGAAACAAGTACTACGAGAACAAGGACTACCCTTACGGCGAGTGGAGATTTCTGACTGACTTGTCTGGGGACCACGATGAGAATCCTTTTACGTTGTCTTGGAACACCACCATGTAACCGCCCCTGGACCCAATCGGATGCGCACAGAAAAGTGGAAGCAATTCGGAGGAGAGACTCAAGCATGGTGGGGGGTCCCACATTTTTTTTGCCGTCTTCGATTTCAAAAGGAATGGCGAGAAACATGTGAAAGATGAAAAGCACGAACTCCCATTCGTTTCCTTGTACATTGCGTTTTCATTTCGGCACATGCAGCCAACGCAACCGCCAACTGCTGTCGGCCCTCTTTCCGCATGCGAAGAGGGATGATGCCGACGGGACCTCCTAGTCGTGTCTGTAACGGCACGTTGACAGCGAAACCTCACCTCGTGGGGTTTGTGGGTGTCGTGTGTCCTCGTCCTCGTCCTTCGCTTTTGTTCGTTTTCAGGCCAACACAGATGGGTAGAGTACGCCGACATCCACAACTACGACAGCAGCTCCGTCACGGCCTCGTGGCACCCGTGGCTGCACCACATGAGCGACCACACCCCCTCGGCCGCGGCAGAGGTGCGCGGTCTACAGTAAATCGTGTGTTGGGGCGCTTTCGCTCAGTTTTGGGAAAAGGCCAGGGAGACTCTGCGGAGGAATAAACATGCAACCGTTGGCAAGCCTACCGTGAAATGAGCGTTGAGAGAACTGGCACCCCCTGTCGACGTGTTTATTTGGTCTCTGACAGCAGTGTGATGCTGCCAACCCCTTGCGCTACGGCCGCCGTGCGCTAGCCCTAGATGGCCTACCTCGTCGTTTTCTCCGTATCCTTTGGCACAGCATGTCCTTGAAACACGTCTTGTATTGGCACGACTTTACCGCGCTCTTGTCGTATCACGAGTACTATGCAGTTTGCTTTCCCAGGGCGCTCCCGCCATTGCGTATGCCTGGCAATCCAAAATGCGCTGCAGCTGTGGTGAAAAATCGACCAACTACTGTACTGCTGCTGTGAGCTCGGTTCGCTTTTCAGGGAGGACATGCATGAAAGCGTGAGCGTATTGCAACAGTTTGTTGCGGCTGACGAGGTGAAACGCCACCCAAAGTCCGTTGAAGCGCACGCTTCTCGCCCACCCGTCCCGCGTCACTTCCCGCTGCTAGAAAATGACTTCACCGCTTACGGTTATATCTCGATCGTAGTCTTGCGTCTTGCTGTGTTTGTATTGACACTTTTAAACATTGTTTCACTAGTTTACGCGGGTTTTTCCGAGTAAGCAATCAAAAAGTGTAGAATCGGCTAAGTTGGGGGTTAAGGGCTAGGGTTAGGTTCTGTGCGCCCTCTCCCTGGTCCTTTTTCGTAATAACCTTACTGTCTTTGCGTTGGCAGCCCTAAAATGATTCTTGCGTGTCTTCGCATTACACCGCAACGGCTCTGTTTCTATTTCGCAGCTTCCGGAGATGAAGCCCATCGAAATCGCCGTCGGGCAGCACACGCCGCACAACGACTTCGTGGCGCCCGGGCGGGTCGACGACGTCAACCGATCCACGTGGAGGCCGCGGGGTGCGGGGATGGGTAACATCTGGCAGGAGCCCGGGGAGCCCGACATGTGAGATGCGCTCCGTGTGTTGGCGGCGGTGGGGGTGGTCACGACAATGATTTTTTGTGTTGTCCTCTCTTGCTGGAGGTTCGGCTTATCACGCACGGTCCTCAGTGTCTGGTGGCACTGACGTCATCTCTGAGAGTTAACGTGGTCTTTTTGAAGCCGAAATGAAACCGTTATTCACCCTACGTGAAAGTGTCAGAGGGTATTCGAACCCTACGACTACCGTTTTTCGACACGACTGACCTTTCTGGAAGCCGAAATTAAACCATTCAACTGTGTAGTCAGCGGCTGACTAGTCTAATGGGGTTTAATGGCTTGATTTCGACTTCTGTAACGTCACAGGCAACCCGTCACAGGGCACCGTGACATTTCACACCATGATACATACCAGCTCCTTTCGCATCTCAAATCGCGGTTGGTCCATTGATGTATGTTTCTCTCCCTGATGGCAAGGTGTCGTCGAACCGTTGTTGCACGAAAGGACTCCTCTTATGGACCCCCCCCCCCCCCCGGCCCCCGCGCCTACGTATCGCGGCAATTTGTCGCTTCAGAAGGAGTTGTAATTGCAACACTCGCGCCTCGCCAGCAGTGAAGCGTTTGGTGATTTCTTGTAGCGGACTGATTTCTAAAGGGCAGAGAAAAAGTGTTTGTGGTCAAATATGCGCGGTTCGGGTCTTTCCGACTGAAAGTGATCAATCAATCAAACATCGCTTTTTTTTTTGCCGCTCGGCGAGAGACCGCTAGACGCCGTAGAGGAAAAAGGTATCTACCAAATATCAAAGTTTGTGTGTCTGTATGTACCCTGCCGCACGTTCTCTCTTTTTTAAACCGTGCGCGTGTGGTCTCTGCTTCAGGTACTACAAGCAGCCGGGGCACCCGCAGCATGCGCTGTCTGACAAGGGGGGACGATTCAGCAAGCAGAAGAGCATGGAGACGTGGGACCCCAAGGACCCGAAGGGCTTGAACACCAAGCAGCCGATCCGAGACCTGACGGAAGTGTAACCGCTGGTCTGGGGATATAGGCGTAAGGGTAGCGGTGTTTCCTCCATGGTGCCGTCATTGTCGAATGCGGATTGTGGAGGTTGCCGCGCCTTGTTTTTCGGTCTCTCTTGCCTCATTCGTGTTTTGTCGAGGCAAGATAGTTCCAGTGAGTAGAAAGACCCTTACAGAAGACAGCATGTCGTTTTGCTCCAGGGAATGGCGTAAGGCGGTTCGCTTTCGTGTTGAAAGGGAACGCCGTTGTTCGTTGTGAGATGCTTCATCGTCGCCGTTGTTCCCGAGGGAATGCCGTTCGTTCTGTGGGAAAGCAGTCGCCGTTATTGTTTTGTCTTTTCTCTCCATTACGGGTGGATATCGTCAGCGCTAGCAGCGATTGCAGGGCGCGCGGGCGGGCCGACGTTGCCCATCTTGGGCCCATTTTTTAGTTAGTGTTAAGGTTAGGGTTTAAAAGACGGAGGGTACGCAAACCCCGGGTATGGTGATCGCCTTCAGGTGGATACCTGCGGGGATGTTGATCGGGAGTGAGGGTCGGATCGCGCATTTACCCCGTTTTGACGCGTCGGAGAGGGCACCGAACGTTGTGTGAACTGGCGCCAGAATTTATTGGACGGCCACACCCAAACACACAACTCGGTGTCCACTAATGGATCATTACCGTTTAGACAGAAGTGTCAGCGTCTTACATGAAGAAACCCCGACTCTCTAATCGACTCTCTAATCTCTCAATACGCAGTTGTAGCGCGGGAATGGGTCTGTTCCTCTCATTGCACCCGTCGTGTAACTGGCTCGTGAAAGGTACTAATAGAGCGGTACCTGTGCAACAGCCACAAACTAACACACAACTTCGGAGTCGCAACGGCACCAAACCACAAGCCGACAACCCCGGGTCGTACTGCCGGGCGATCTTCCTGCCGTGCAGCCCCGCATTTTCGATGGCAGCTCTACGTTTTCGATGGCAGCTGTGCTGGAACGGGACACAGCTGACACAAGGAGAGACTGGGCTGCGAGCGCGTCTGGTCTGCTGTGCTATACCTTTGCTCGTGGGCGATTTTGGGAAAGGGCCGACACAGAGAGACTGCACCGCAAGCGGGTGTACTGTGCTATGCGTTTGCTCGCGGGCGAAATCGCTTTCATTTGATGCGCCACTTGGGCCAAGCGCAGGGCAACGGGAGGAACATGGAGGCCTCCACACGGCTTCGCGGGAGATACCGACCCCGACCGCTATGCGATCAGTTGGAAGTAATCGTCCCTCAAGGGGGAGGCATTTTGTGAACACATTATCCCCTTCTCAAAACACCGGCTAGGCTTTTGCGGCTGTCGACGGCAGAGGCAAGACGATGCACGTCCAAAACTCCTGAGTGTGCAATCAAAAGCCCTTCGCTGCGTATCCAACCCCCTCGGAGACGAAGCCAAACGCCACAATTGCAACTCTTTGAGCCGATAAACCAATCGCGAATCACCGCGCCGGGTAGTAGCTGACATTGGCGAATAAATCTCCACACTCCGTGCAGTGTCTTCGAACACCATCACCATTCGCGCCCTCCTTCCACCCGCGCCAGCAGTTGCCGCCACTCCTCCACGGCGCCCGCCAGCTCTGGTACTCTTCACATCGGGAGCAAAACGCCAGGTGGACCATCACCTGCCCTTGTCCTTCGCGACGTCTTGTGCCCGGACCGTCGTTACTTCCTTCGTTTTCGTCGCTCTTGCCTATTCGTATGCCCGGAGGGGGCGGCGGGCTGCTCTCGCGGGGGACGGCGGTGAAGGTTGCGCTGGCAGGGGGGGATGAGGTGGTAGACGACGTGTAGCGAGCGCTCCGGACGACCTTTTTGGTCGACGCCGCTGCGTCACCGGTTTTTTCCACCACGGCTGTTTCTTCGGTCATCGTCATAATTGGCGAGGGTTCCGTCGTATTCTCCGCCAGTTTCGCAGAAGGGTTCGGGGAAGACCCAAGGCGCTTCTGTCTCTGTCTCGAGCTTCTTCTTCTTCTGCTGGCGCCACGTTGGATCTCGTCGTTTCGGTCTGATGCCCGACGACTACGCCCAATTCGTCGGGACGCAACCTCACCGCCGTCGTCGTGCGGTGCGATAGCTCCCGACAGCTCTTTTCCATCGTCAGTATGAGGCGGAGGCAATCCTTGGTATCCATCCTTGGTGGTCACTTGTATCGCTGCCTCTGCCGCTCCCGCCGCTCCCGTTCCTTGCTTCATGGCTTCCTCCGACGAAGACGGCGGCACGGGACGACGCCGAGCGAAAGGACGGCGACCCTCTTTCCTCGATGACCGTGGCGGTGGCTGAGCGGGAAACGCAGACACTGGTGCAGCAGGACGGAGCGCGTCGTCGTTATTCACGCAAAACATCGGTACAGGTTGTCCGTCCGCTTGCGCCTCGAGACCACTGCCAGCGATGCCGTGCCCGGCGTCGTTTTCGGCGAGACTGCTGCCACTGCCCTCTTCACCATCGCCTTTGTTGAGTTGAACGCTCGTAGCGCTCACTGCTGCCGTGTCCCTGCTTGTGAGACTGCCGGCTGGCAGAATAGCGTTTTCCGCGATATGTTCCCGTCGAGGGCTGTTGCAGTGCGGCGGAGGTATTGCGCTCATGCCGTGAATCGGCGCCGGGGTGGGCGCCTGCGGGGGAGCTTCCCCCCCCATGCTGCTTGCAGCGGTGACAGGGAGTGATGGTGTCGAGCCCTGTTGTTTCCGCCGCACGGCTGGTGGATCGTCACGCGTACATGGTCGCTGTTCCAGCACCGTCCCCACCTCCGTCGCAGCGGGGGGTTGCTTCCTCCCCCCTGCGGTTGTTGCTGTCGTGGCAGACTTGTCGTTTTCCATTTCTGGTGACACCGCCGCACTTTTCGGCGCTGCTGCCGCTGCTGCTGCAGCTGCCCTTGCCGACACCGCCGCCGTTGCCGCCGCCGCCACCGCCACCGGTGCTTGCGTCGCGGCTCCTACGCCCTCATGGGCGCGCTCGCTCGAGTATGCCTCCGCCGCTTGTCCTCCCTGGTCCGGAGACGGCGGGGGCTCGTGCCCGCAGGACGTGCACTGATGCGTTTTTTTCCGCGACGAACTTCCGTTGTCACTATCCTGTTTGGCGGCACGATGACGGTCACGTCTGCGTTCCTGCCCGGGTTTCTTGTCGCTAACGCGCGTCGCCCCGGCGCCGACGTTCTGCGGCCGTGGGAGCTGGTCCCAGTTCCCGCACGCGGGGCACGTGGTACCGCAGATGTCGGTCTTGCACCCCTCGCAGCGGATGTTTGCCGAGCCTATCGCAGTTTTATCCCCCAACACGCTTCTCCAGCAAGCGCAACGCTATGGTCAACATCGAAAAAGCAGAGGTCGTGAGAAGATATATCATGGGGCGACGGCAAGGAGTGAGACGACGGAAAATGAAGGGCCGAAAATGGGGAGGCCATATGGGATGGAGGTGAAGATGAATCAGGGTAGAGGAGACTAGAACGTGGAAGACGAACATTTTCCCACCGGTGTTCCTGTCGACAAATGACCGCATTCAAAGAGACAACAAAGATGGCATTGACTGTAAGAGAGGTTCCGACGCCCCCAACTCACAGTGCATCATCGTATCAGGTAGGCTAGTTCGGCGAATGGGATGGGGGAAATCCCACTCTCGGAAACAACCGCTCGAAGACATAACCGCACGCGACAAAAGAACCACCACCCCTCTTCAGAGTTCCCTAGCGACGTCCGCCCGTCGTCAAGACGAGTCGCCGGGGCCCCTCACCTCGCAGTACACCTGGAAGAACTTCGTCGTCGATGTCGCCGCCTCAGCCGCCGCCGCCGCCGCCGCCACCGCCGCGGCCGTCTTCTTGCCATCGGCCGGGCGGACGCGGCACCGCGGGCTCTTGCAGACCAGGGTGGACTCTCCCTTGGCGCCGGCGTAGGAGTCCCACTGGCGGCAGGAGGGGCAGAACGCCTCGTGGGACTCCGAGCCACAGTTGCCGCAGGAGAGGGAGTTGTTTGCGTCGGCGTGACGACCCTTGACGCTGTGGTGTTATCGAAGTAACGGTTCGCGAGGCGGTTGAGGAGGCAGAGCATGTATTTGGTCTGGAGGGCGAGAGACATCCAACGCTTTTTCGAGAAACGCTGAAGTACAAACAATCAAATCCAGGCGTGTTCTCGGAATGCTGAGTCTTGTATATCCTTAAGCCCCGTTCTTCCCTGCCGTTGAAACTCAGAACGACATTCGTTTCTTTGCAATGTGTTTGTTTATGTCGTGAAACGTAGTTTAGCATCTACCCCCTCAGGCGGAATTGTGTGGATGGGATGCTCCGGAACAACTTACGGCGGTGTCGCATGGGGACGCAGTGCTGCTGACAGCGTGGTGGAATACACAAAGTGCATCTTTGAACCTCCCAAGAAGGTTCGTCTCGACAATTTCGAGCCTCTTCGCATAACAAGCTCAAGTCTCTCGTTGCCATTGTAATGTGTTTTCCGCGCCACGCCCGTAGTCTCCGACAATGCCTTGCCGATCTGGTGGGACCGAACATGGTTTTCCCTCCACGGAAGCTTGGTTGCTCAAGGTATCAACTACTTCCTCCGCTGTGCATCTGGCACGATTTGGCACAGGGCGGAAAAATTTGCAATCCCGCACTTTCCTGACGTTTCGACGGAACCTCGGGCCTCGGCGTACAGTTGTTACACGAACTGTTTTTTGTATCAATTCGACTTGGCGATCGACTCCTACAGTGAAAGGCGGCTGAGCCCTTCAAACCGTCACAAATGAAAGCACGACAGAAGGAAGGTAGAGTAGACTGCAAGAAAATAGAATGACCCAACAAATCATGACCTTCCTCTTCCGTGAACCCGGCGGTTTCCTCCAAACATGCCTAGAGAGGCGTAGTCTACCTGATGTCCAGAACTTATAGGAAGAGAATTCCCACTCGAACATCGACACACCTGCCCCACATGCCACACGATTGGCACGATATCTCGTAGAACACAACGGTGCAGTCGCAGGATAGCGATCTGCAGCCCTTCTTCCCCTCCCAGACACCCCAGCTTCGTTGGCGAGATAGGACGAAAACAAATGGCGACCGAATGGCATGTTTGGCGTGGCACACGGGTGTCGGCAAACGGCGTTAGACCGCCATAGCACGTGCGAGGTGTGACTTTTTTCACCTGTGAGCAACAAAGGTTCGGGGATGCATCAGTTTTGATTGGGGATGCCTAGTGGGCGTGCACCCAGCAAGGTATGCTGTAATTATCACGCCGTACTGCCGCCGGGTCGCAGGTTTTCAGCCGTGGATACTGCAGTGTCTGATCCCAAGCCTCCCGGTGGCCTTGAGATTGAGAATGTAGACAGCAGTGCTTCCTCGCTTCCCCACCTGCTGCACCCGGGGCAAAACGCCTCGTGAAACTTGCAGCCGCAGAACCCGCACGATCGCGATCCCCCCCCCTGGACTTCGCCGTTGAACGTGTTCCAGCGCCGGCACGACGGACAACGGCTTTGGCAGAAGACGTTGCCGCACGCACACCTGCGGGTTGAGCCGCCGCGCGGCGATTGGTCACGTTGAAACGCAGCAGTGACGTCAGGTTACGACTGCGATGTCTAACCCGCCCGTGCTGACATTTTTTGTGTACATTGCGCGGTCCTGCGTGGTACTTGAGGAACCGCCGATAATCCCTTTCAAGGGGGGGAGGTTGGCGATGTAGTGGCACGCACGGTGTTGTCAGCCTCGTGCATTCACTCGACTGTGAATGCCGCACCTCATTGAGCTCTCGCCTCGTCGGCCCTTTGTAGCTCCCCACTCTTTGCACCCCGCGCAGTACACCTGGGGAACCCATCAGTTCGAAGAATCGAGTCATTCAAGGGTAAACGAAGGGGGCAGCAGGCTTGGCACCTCGACCAGCACTTGGTGCCATTTATTACGATGAAGCAGCTTGTTTTGTCGCACAGGTCTCGCCAACGCCACAGCGTAGAGGGTTTGGTGGGAATCCTTCGAGGTGCCAAGAGTGAAGATGTTCTCGTCCTGCATCTCGAGTCAGCCAAGACAGACTCTAGAGGCGCCGCCGAATCGCTCCCTCTCAGGTTTAGTTGCAAGAGGGGACCATGTCGATCGCTCTCCTCCGCACCTCATGGAAGTATGCCGAGCATCCGTAACATTGGAGAGAGGGCCCGCCTCTCTTGCTTGCTTTGACTGTCGTGCCGATCCCGCACTCGGGGCACATCAGTTGACGAGTTGCTACGCCGTCCGGTGTGTTTCCCCCGCTAGATCGTTTCGGAGGATCGGTGCCGTTTTGCCCAGCGTTTGCACCTGCTGACCGTGAATCCGGTGAAGGCATACTACATGAGTCCGTCGCCCGCCGCATATCCGTAAATATCAGCGGATCGTGTTGGTCGCACCCCGACCGGCGGGAACGAGAATCGTGAGGTGTTGGTTCTACTTCTGCCAAGCCAGTTAGCAAGAATGAATTCAAGTCGATGTGGAGCGCATGAAGGCCACGGGTATTCCCGACCTTGTGGCGGTGGGCTTGGCTTTTCCTTTCGCCAAGATTTGCTTCATTTTTCGGCGTACCCGTTTGTCGAGCCTGCCTGCAACCCTGCCACTCCCCAGTGCGATGGTGCATATGGTACTCTTCTTGTGTTGCTGTTCTTGGTCAAACGATACACCTCATTGCTTTCTTTTTTTTTTGCGCAATATTCGTATCTCACCATCCTCTCGTACGTGACAACATGCTCACGGCCACTCATTACCTACATGCAAGGTCCCACGCGGGCTGAGACCAGCACACAAGTCGCTGGTTTCAGAAGATTCTGATGTGTAGAAAATCAGTATGGAACCGCGACGCCCTATTCTGCCGTGTTGGTCATGCTTAACATTCCTGACCTGCATCATGGTCTTACCTGCTGTTTTGCTGGTGCCGCCGGACATACCGAGAAGCTCGCTTCGAAGGTCGAGGTCGAACTCTTTTCGGCGTACTTTATCGCTCAAAATGGCGTAGGCTTCGTTGATTTTCTATCGTTGGGGCGAATATACCGCCATTTGCACCAGAGGGAAAAAGGAGGATGCATCCATTAACAACACTATGTCTCCGATGAGCGGCTAATACGCCATTTACATTGCTGTACATGTAGTGGGACACGATGATTTTGATTCTCTATTGCGATGATTTTGAAATGTGTGTACAGCCTACAACCAGACCATAAGGATCTAACGGCCACCTACACCACGTTCACTATCCGAACAACAGCTGGTTCGGCACCATGTATCCTTGCATGTGTGTACACAGCAGTGCGCATAGGCTATCTTCGTTCTCTCCCCATGATCGTTTATGTACACGTACGCTCTACATGTTTGCTACAAGCAGTACTTCTGTCTGCATGTATGCGTACACAGAACGAGGTCTCTGCTTGCTGTCGGGCATGCCTTTTTCACCAATCAAGCTGTCTTCCGACTGTGTCAGTGCCGTTTTAACAGAGAACGATCTAACAGCACTTGGATTTTAGGTGGTTGGCTCACCTTGAACACGTCTTCTGCCTCTGTCTTGCGCTGTTCCGATGCGTTTACTTGCCTGTCTGGATGCCATACAAGCGCAAGGCGATGATAGGCGCGTTTCGCCTCCGACCCGCGAGCAAAGTCCTGAATGCCCATTACGGCGTAGTGATTGGTTACCATGTTATGTGCTGGGCCAGTCCTGCTACAAGCGGGAACGCACAGGCGAGAGCGGTAGCCAGTGTACACTCGTTCACCAAGACATAATGCACCATGGGAGACAGAGAGAACCACAGTTTCGGGGGGAAATATGCGGAGCAATTCGAACAGGAACAAGATGCAAAGATCCAACATGAGCCAGCAATGCTCATCGGACACGGGCACATCAAGGACGGATGTACGGAATCCCGAGAAGGAGGGGGGTTGGATTTTGTCACGGTACAACGAACGCTGGGGTTGTGCGGTAAGGGCACGTAGCTCATCGGCATGGCAGCGGTAGCCCCCGTCGATGCAAGCAAGTTGCACCTGGGCAGGCACGGAGGCAAAGGTGTGCCTCGTTGACTGTATCGCTGTTGCCTTTTGCCCAAACGATATGGCGGTCGGTCACTAATCGGCAGGATCCGCAGAAGATATATGGTCTGGATCATAATACAGAAGGATTCACGCTCGAGGTGATATAGTTGTCGACTCATTTTCACCTACATAGATTTCAGTGGTGGACAACGCTCGCACTGACCAGAAGGATACTCTACGCTTCGTTCTGTTCATTGCCGTGTAGTCTAGGCATGCATGTGTTTCTCTCACAAAGGGGGGCCGCAAATGAACCTTTATTTAGATCAGACTTGACCAGCAAAATAGACATCCCCTAGACACCTCAGGCCAGCATTAATCTTTGTTGCTGCTGGCTTCGGTTGTCGCACGCTGATTTGCCAGGCACTTTCACTATTCGCTCCAGCCACACGAAGAAGCAGCGGCATGGACACACCGGCGACGAACCGACCCAGCGGTGCCTTAGAACCGGAGCTATCTCCGATGTCCAAGAAGGTGTAGTCTACAATCCGAACGATTTCTTTACAAAAGGCATCGCACCACAGAACGACTGTTTAGTCTGCGGGGAGTGAAGGCCACCTGCTGGATACCGGACTGTAGAAGAAGTTTCGTACAACGGTAGACGTATAGCCCTTGTTTGGACCTTCAACTGAGAAAACCAGTGAATGCATAGCAGTCGGGGATCAAAAAGATCTCGTACAGTCGAACCATATAGAAGCCGAACTTAGACTCTTAGTTAGTCGTGGGTTCGAGACCCAGGCTGGACACTTTGAAGTAGTATTTTTCCTGAGACCCAGGATACTCCCGGTCAGAGTATATGTGACGGAAGGACTCGTCTGAGACCCTGGAATATTCTGCAGGATGTGGGTGGCGAGTGATATGAAGCGAAATAAAGATTGGACGGGATAGTAGCGGTGGCAAGGGGACTCATGCTCCTCGGAAGTGAAAGTGCCGGGGCTCACGAACCCCACGATATAGGAGCCGAAATCAAACCATTAGCCTGACCTCAGCTATGGTTCGATTTCGGCTTCAATAACCTACAGAAATTTTAGGTTTACTCAATGCCCCCCTGCAAGTCTCTGCTGGGGTACTTATGGCTAAAAAGCCGAGGGGAACTCTGCTCTGCTTATGTATGCATTGACTGCGTAGTGGCATACGGTACGCGAGTTCCCTATATGGACCTTTATTGTTGTTGGGTGCACGCGATATAATGAAGTGCTCCAAAAGGGGTCTTGCGCCATCGATGTAGTGGTAGACGCTGCATTCCAACCAGAGCACCAGACGAGCAGGAGAAACCCTTCTCCTCTACATACTACGGGAGACGGATCTCGCACCCCCACGACTACGCAATCAGGCTTGCTTGTTTACTGCTGTTTCTTGTGCGTGATCCCTGTACGACATGCAAGCAGGTGAGACATTTCGAAAAGTATTCCCGGAAAGGTGGCCGTTGGAGCTGGAAGCGACCTTCCTACGAGCGTGACGTCGTGAACCTGGTCAAGACAGAGAGGAGGATCGAGGAAGGGATAGCATCCGCGCTCACGGAGGTGGATGCGGTAGAAGCCGGTCTCAGGTATTCAAGCTCCTGTAGTTGCATATGAAATGCGGGGCGTACGGCTCCCGGACAGCTGGTTCACATAATGTGGTGTTGATGCGCCGGAATCGTGTTAAGCTTTGACTGTGCGGGTTGCACTTTTGTCGCGGTGTTGCCTGACACGCTCTTAATCTTGGCCATGAAACGGGTGTAAACCTCCGTCGTGGTGCTGTCACCACACTGCAGGCGTGTACCAATTTTCTCCGTTTAACAAGCACTGCGCCTCCATTGCGTTGTCAGGTACTTCGACGAACTCATCATTCCGCAGAACAAGCACGTTGGGATTCAGCAGCAGTTGATTTCGTCGAACGGGCAGGATGAGAGTAACGGCGTCGACACCCGTAAGGCATCACGGGATGGCCCGGGTTCACGATCGAAGGGTCCCAGAGCACAAGGCGGAAGAAGCCGAGACGAAGGGAGAGCAGGATTTACTAGGTCGGAGGGGGCGAAACTGCGAGACTACGTCGCGGCGAAAAAGAACGTCGTTGGCGTCGGCAACAGCATCATGACCAGCAGCGACCGAGCGGTCTCGGAGTGCGTGGACCTCAAGCTCACTCTCAAACAACGCTTGGACAAGTAAGAGCACTTGACTATTGGCGAAACGACGTAAAGCATCGGTGACGATGTACTGTAGTTGGTGAGATCCCGTTCGTGGTTTCCGATACGGGTGCCAGCACGCACTACTCAGTCCGCATCACGTCCGATGAATCATGTCTCCGCATTTGACCACATTGGTTGCGACGTAAACGCGCTCCTCTGTTTCACGCCATCAACCTGTCCCGTTTCGCTACTTCCTGCATGTCTCGGTAGCCTGTCTACGCCTTGATTCGTTTCTCGATTTTCGGAATACACCAACATCGCGAAGCACAACTTCAACGACGCCGTAATAGATACTCTTGGTTTGCCCAAATCACCCAAACTCCACTTCGAACTTCCCCTCTGAGTGCCTATGCTCGTGTGTAACGGTATCGCCCAAATTGTGTGCAGCTATGACCGGCAGCGAGGAATAAACGTGACGGCACTGAAAGACGAGGAAAAATCAGAAGCCCAGCTTGTTTCATTCAAGCAGCAAAACAATCACGAGATGAAGGCAAAGCACAGCAAGAGATCAGGCGGAGGCACCATCGGTAGCAACGTCGAGGGAGGAAACCAAGGAGGCATGATTGCTCCGTGCTGCGAGGGCGGGGCGACCGATGCCGGAAGCGTAGGGGGAATCTTGGCGCGATCTCTCGGGAACGCCGGGACACGGAGACGTCGAAGGATGACCGAGGGAGGGGGAAAAGGCCGAAGCATTCCAGGCAGCAACCAAGACAAGGAGGTTTCTGCTCCGCAGTCTCGGTGGCGGTCATGGAACGAACCTCCGCCACGCGCGCTGCTGACGGCAGAGGAAATCCGGAGCGCTTCGGCGGCCAAGACGACGGACGAGAGGCGACGGCAACCACCGCCGCCAGAAGTGATCGCTGAGATCATTCCACCCTTTCGGAGTCGCAGAAGGTTCCGAACTCCCAGCGGCAACAGTAACGCTTCCGATGAGAAAGGCAAGCCGACAGAACACGCCGCCGCCGGTGTCTCGCTGGAGTCGGGAGAGGGCGAGAAACGCAGAGATGGATGCAACGGGGAGGGACTAGTGTCTACGACCACCGCTGCGCCTTCGTCTTCCCGACGGACAGCTGCAGGCGGCGTGCCGCTGGTCCCGAGGGTAGCAACGCTTGCCACCCCGCCGGCCACAGAGAAGAACAAGACGGAAGCGACCAAGAAGGGGAAGGACTTCGACCCAGATCAGCTGGAGTGTGTGCGACGGCACGAGGCGAGCATCGCTGAGAAGGAGCGGATGGTGCACAGCATACGAGAGGAGGCGGAAAAGCGGACGTTTTTTCGAGCTCGACCGTTGCCGGCGTTTCTTGATGGCGACGGCGCGGTGCCCTGGTCCGTTGGTGATTTGACCAGCAAGGGTTGTGGTGATGCTCGCGGAAAAGGCGGCAAGAGCGGCCGCGGATCAGCCGCAGGCACCGGGTTGGGAGAGGCGGGAACACGTCCCGAGCTGTTGGCGGCACTAGAGCAGGTGATGGGATAAAGTTCACCAGAGTCATGGGTCTTCGAGTCTGTGTCTATCATTGGTTGCTCGATACTTCGGCGTGCGCGCGCATGACTTGGTCGAAGTCCGGTGAGTCAGGCACAGTCGGAACGATGTTTTCCAGTGGAAAACCCTGCCGCTGGAAAATGAATAATAATACCCCCCACCTCGGGGCATACCCCCCCCCTCGGTGTTTGCCATCGGGATTGGGTTTTCGTCGCTTGGCAACGACGTTGTAAAAGAAGCCAATTCACTTCGTGAACTCGGCAACAAGGTTACCGGTTTTTTTTTTCCTCTGTTTTTTTTTGGGGGGTAACCATAATGGTGGTCGAGTGGATCATGTTGTGCGGGGTGGAAAAACCTCACTCCGCGCAAGGGGAGATGATCGCACCACGTTGTGTTAAAATGGTCAAGCATCCTCGAGGCAGTTACACAGTGCTTATACCTGTCTCTGGAAGTGAACGCACCAGAAAATAAATTGAGACATACGCAGATGTCATCCGTACGCAAGGAAGTAAGCACAAGATGCCCAACACCCTTAGCAGGATGCAGCGCACCCTCCATGCGACTCGCCGAATACCTCACGGCGCTTCGCGCTTGATGATGTGAGAGCCTGGTCCGGTGAGAACCCGGCGTGCTCCGTCCCGGCTTTGTAGGGATGCGAGGTCAATGGTCTAACGACTACGGCATGCACGACTATGAGTACACCCCCCCCCCCCACCTCGGGCATATTCCAATGAAATTCTCTGTGCTTTCGACCCTTTTGATCAAACCCAGGACGAGGAGGCGCAAGCGTTGGTTGAGAAGATTCGCAAGATCAACCCCCGGGCGGACATCGCCTCCATCGTCCTTCAGTCGACCCCACGGACACCCTTGTCGTTGCCGCTGACATCGCGAATCAACAACGGCGGCGGGCGAGTAACCCGGCCCTTTTTTTCCCAGGGGGGGGTTCTAACTCCTGCTGGAAATGCTACCCACACGGCTACCACCGCTGCAACCGGATTAAGCTGGTCCAAGAACAACACGGCATCTAGACCCCTGATGTCAGTTGGCGTTTCAGACCAGTCAACACCGGGGTTAAAGAGCGAACATAAATCGCCACAATCCGTTGTTCGTGTCGATGGAAGCGACGCAAGAGAACGGAGTGAAGGACGAGCCGAAGAAAGCCACGTCACGCGAGTGTCAGGAATCTGCGAAAGAAAACCAGAGGATGGGCAGGAGCGAGGCATGTTGGGAACGGGGGACCAACAAGTCCGTCATCATATGGCGACGGGCGCTTCGGCGTCTGCTACCTCTGGGCCGGCGAGCGCACCAGAAAATGACGGCGAGGACAGCGGGGATCCTCGGTGCGTTACCGAGAGCAGGAGGCGAAGCTTGATGGGGAGGATGCTAGAGAGTGGCATGCTAGAGAGACAGAAGGAGTGGGCCAAAGCCCGGAGTAAGAAGGTGCGTTGGGAGGACGCGCAGATTGTTAACCCGTAGAACACAAATCAGATCCTTTTTATTTAGTCGGGAGCTGTGTGCACCTTTTTGAGCTGAAGAAACAGTGGAATGGCCAATAGGAAAGGTAAACACAGGCATTTTGGACATACTCGAGAAATGAACTTGACATTCCAAGGATGACGAGCATGCACGCGCCTAGCGCTCGGTTCCGTCTGTCCTTTTATCTGTTCATGAGATGTGAATCCCATCACATGGATCCGGTCTGCTCTTTGCTTGAACACCAACGTTGATGCTGTGACCGTTAGACTTGGTTGCGTGGTTACTGTTCTCCGTACCGGTGCACACAAATCGATCCCCTGTGGAGTCACGTTTCGACGAAAAACGGGCAGGCACAAGATCAACCAACGCGCCGCACACCCAGAACGAAGCCAAGCCTCGCAAAATTTCAGTCGGTAGGAAGGGAATCAGATCCTGAGAGACATGTTCTCTCGTGTGACAGTAAGGGTTTGGCCGACAGAGGGTTGGGGGACTCTGTGCCGATCGCCCACGAGACGCCATCAGACCAGGAACCAGTATATATATGGCACGTACGCCTTAAACTGAACAAGACTTTATACACATCCGCTGGAACAGGTGTTGGAGTCGAGGAGGCAGGTCGAAGCGGCGAAGGAGCAGGAAGGGAAGGGAGACGCCCTTGTTGCCGGGCTAAGCGGTCGCAGCTGGTGAGTGATCAAATTCAAGGACGTGGATAGGGTAGGATGGGGTCGACAAACTCCATGTGCTTCTTCATCGTAGGTGAACATATGCCCAACCGACGGTGTAGGTAATAGCCGCTGCGGATGTACCAGCATGGTTTCACGATGCAACACTAAGTAGGCTGCGAGCTAGCCAACAGGCGAAGGTGGCTGCTCTTTCGGTGCAGCTACAGCTACACGATCTACAGGCTCTAGTTGTCCCGGGTTCCCATTGAAGCGCCCATCGCCATGCCTGCCCCGTGTGTCCCTCGAACTCTCGGGAGGAAGGTCGAAGGCAAAAACGGAGCACCTGCGTTCCCTTGAGCGACAAAGGAAGGAGGAAGAGACACGAGAGGTAAGTGACCAGGCCTTGCCAAATGTAACCGTTGTCGGGGTGGGATGCCGTCGTTGCTCTGACCGCGCCTTGCCATTACTGCGGCTGGTGCCTGCCGGTGGTGGTGCTGTAGCTATCACCATCGGCAACCAAACCTTTACCGCCCTGTACCCGGATCTCCGTTTTTTGTACTGAGGTCCAGCGCGTACTGACCTTCTTCCGGTATCACAGGTCCCGACGAAACACCGAAAAGACACAGAACCAAAAGGCGTTGATGATAAAAAGTGTACCACTGGATTAAATTTGGGGCACCGTTGCTTCCAATAACATACTTCCCTAGGAAATCCGAGAAGCACGACGACGAGCGTCGGAGTTGAGAGCCGAGCGGGAGCGCGAGTCCGCGGAACGGAGGGCCACGGAGATTGCCGATACTCTGGCGGCCGCCGCAGATGCAGTCGGAGCCGGCACCGGAAGGGAGTCCCGCACAGCGCCCAACTCCCGAGGTGGCGGGGGAAGGCGTAGGTTACGAAGGGTGAGCGCCAGATGTTCACAGTTATATTGGAGGAAGGAGGAATCAAGGGTGAGAAGGAGATTCAGGGCGGGTAGTCTCACTGCTGAGGTAGTTTTGCGTCAGGAGTGCCAAAATCATGTCAGGAAACCCCACCCGCCTGGTATGCTCCACACGTTGGCGTGATACCGCTATGACTACAAAAAATGCATGAACGTTCTCCACAACCACCGTGCAATGTTCATCGGAAAATACTTCTCCCTCGACATGGGTTCCTTTTGTTCACCCAGCCGCCACCGCCGCGACGCGCGAGGAGCCACGCTGGAGACGAGGGACATGTCAACAGGACTGGCGATGGCGGTGGTATCGTGTCGATGACGGCCAATGAGCGACGGCAAAAGACGGAGGGAGAAACTTCCCCCGACGGTGGAAACCACGTCACTCCAGTCGTGGCAACAGAGGCAAAAAACGACTTGTCCGAAGACTCTTTCTACCGGGTGGCCGTCGAAAAGATCATGGAGAAAGAGAGACTTGGCGTCGCGAGCCATGGTCTACTTGGTGGTAGCGGAAGCGGTGGGGGTGGTGGAGATGGTGGCGACGGTGGGAAAAGCGGAGCGGGAAGCAGTGGTAGACGCCGGACCAGCTGTAGCGGCAGGTCGCACGACCGATCGAGGAAGGGAGCCGCGGCTGGTCCACTTCTGTTCCATCTTCCTCGCGGCGCAGCGGCAGGTCGACGAACTAGAACAAAGGTGAGTAGGTTTGGGTGGAAGCCGGTAGATGGTAATAACATTTCGAGGATAGCTAAGTTTCTTTCCGGTTACGAACATGATGCACCTTCAAAAAGACGGGAACCGGTTGTAGGGCGTCTCTTGGGAAGAGTGCGCTCAACAGGAGAAGCATCCTATACAAAGTTCATTGGCGCCCACGATCAGTTGTTCCTGCGAAACCCGTAGGTGTTTGCTCTACCATCAACGTGCACTTGACATCACGCTGAAGCAAACGGATCCAATGACCGATCGCCCCGCGCTCGAAACCATCTCAGTCGGGAGCACCGATGCATCAAAGTCAAGCCCGTGGTGCCAACGGTACCCCCAACAGCACGGTGGGGAGGAGAAGGTCTTGGGAGATCCAAACGAGCAGGACATCAGAACGACACGCCGTCACACCTCCGACACTAAGCGCTGACAGGGCGTTGGCGCGAACAAGCAGCCTCCTGTCTCTGTACGAGGCGCAGTCCGTGGAGCACGTCGCCGGGATTCGCAGGGACAACAGCGGTCCATACCTGGATGACGATGACGCACTAGGCCCGTCACGCGATCACACATCTGCGGGATGGCCTGGCGGTGAAGCGCAAGATCGCCTTACGCTTGCCGGCCAAGAGCAGCTGAGCGTCCTAGTAGCAACGTCTGGAGCCGAGAAATTCACCCCCAGTGGAGGAGCGGCGGGAGCCATGGATTACCCGTGGTCTGACGAGAGGCGAGCATCTGGGAGTCGTGGGAGCGGCGGCGGGGCTCGTCACATCGTAGAAGGCGGCACCCGACTGGACGCGGCCGCTGCCACCGTTAGTGGAAGTCCACGGTGGAATGATGTCCTCAATATTGGGCAACAGCTAGACCAAGCTAGAGGCACAAGCGCTAACGAAGGAGAAGAACACCCACGACGACGACGGGTGAGTGTGGGGACTGGAGACTGTGGCGGATATCGCGACCGGGACGAGATCGTTGGCATCTCACGAAACGAGACTTTCCCTTCCAGTACGGAAACCTCGGTTACAGCCGTCGCGGGAGGAGCCCAATCGTGCAGAGCTCACACCCACGCCACCGCGTCATACCTGGACGATGATGGTGTTGATGGTGGTCACGAAAAGGGTGGCGATGTTGGTGGAGGAGCGGTTACTCGTCTCGGTGGAAGATTTGATCTGTGGAACGAGAGTGACGACGAGGTGAGCGTGACGGAGGCCGACCGCCACGAGCACCACACAAACCTCGAGAGGCGAAACGAACATCACGCGTCCGGTTCGAATTCTCAAGCGTGCGAGGGAGCAGGTGCACTGGATTCCGGCGACGATGGCGGTCATGCAATGGACAGCTTCCTGATGCCAGCACAAGGGACAGGTTTTCCTGTGACAGCACAGGCAGGCGGTTTCTTCGACGCGGCGACAAGCTCTGCGGACAAGGTTCGTCGTGAGGGTGGAGCATCAAGCATATTCAGTCCGCCCCGGAAGCGCCCCAGCGTGTGTCGTAAACTTTGCTTTTGGGCAGAGTCCCCGAGGGTTTTTCCAAGCCGAGTTTGATTAATATTCGAAAGCTTAGCAATGTTCTTTCGGCGACGAAGTCTTACCGAACTATTCATCGCCAATGCGGTCCACTTGGAATTTTTTCTCAAATCCTCCTCGTGGCTTTCTCGGAACCACAAACTCCCAGCGGATAAGATCCCGGCGACGTGAAATTCAAAAATCCACGTGCATATTGTAATATCTGGTACACATGGTACTTCACGCAAAGCGCTGGTTAGGGAGTGCACATGCAGAAAGAAACCAACGGATTTGTATCTCGCGTTACATTCGAAGACATGAGAACGCAGATGAATTCTTCCGTGTAATTGCCGATCAGGGTTCTTCAGTCTGCAAGATCCGTGAAGTACCAGCAGAAACAGTGAGCACCGGGTATCCCTGAGACAGTTCCTTCCATCTATACTCGTTGAGAGAACATCGCCTGAACGTTGATTGCTGGCGGTGCCGTTCTACGTTCGGGACCCCATCGACAAACAGGGCCGCTTGAAGGTTAGAGATCCGCGGCTTTTTGATCCCTGCAGCATGCGTCGGCGGCCAGACTCTGATTTTCGAGGAACATCGGCCAAACCGAAGGTGGTAGACAATGAAGCCACGAGAGTGCCTCACTTTCCGGAAGGACGAGCTGCATCGACGGGTGTGACGTTGTTGCTCGGACGTCGAGTTGATGACGAGGGCCGCAGCTTCGGTGGCATAGGAGGAGAGGGGCGTCAGGTTCATGGGGCAGAGGAGGTGATTTCTGGGTGAACAACCATGGCGATCAAAATGACACAATCCGTATCTCCTCGCTGGCAGAGGAGTTATCTCCATAGGATAGCCTGTACTCACTCGCGGGGATCATGTGATCTGCATGTTCAACTTTGGTATCGGACGCGCTCTGATTGAAGCACTCTTGAAGCCTCACACAAGAGTACCTTGGAGGCCAGTTCGATATTGTTTCCTTCACCTACGCTCCTTCACCCACGCTTTTTCGCACCGGTTGTTCCCCCTTTTGCTTCGATGCCTCCTGCCGTCTGGGCATGCATGGCAGGTCATCACCGTCATGTTTGACCGGTCCAAGTTCAACGAGCAAGAAGCGCACCGCTGGTGGCTCGCGAATGGCGCAAGGATCGTGAATATCAGCGACCGCGGATGAAGCTATTAGCTCCATGTTTGGCACCCTTCATTAAGGACGAGGGGCGGGTGCAGTAACATTGATCAACGCGAACGTAGATTTCGAGCGAGGTTTCTGGCCAAAATCCTCAGCACCAAGAATGTTTTGGCAGAGAGAGGGCTACAGTATACCGGACAGGCCTGCAGGTCTATCAGCTGGCCTCAGAGAACCGCGACGGCTCGTTTTTCAATGCTGGCGTTATTTCTGCATCAGAGATGCACGCCTGCCGTTGCGGTCGCCTAGTTCGTCTGTTCGACACTCGGTGTCAATGACAACGTAACCCTTGTCCGTGGATATACAGTAGCCAGCCTGGGGTAGTGTACAGCAGCTGAATCAGGTTCTCTGGCCAATGTTCTCTAGAGTTTTCCCGGGCATCATGACCTCTTGCACTGTTTTCCACGATGCAAACATGACTCAGTCACGGTGGCCTCTCGTGATTTGCCTGTGGCATTCTTCATGTCCGGTGCAAGTAGGCCGAGCGGCAGCCTGGGACTTGGCAAAGGATGGTACTTCTTGGGTTCTTTGCCTGAACTTCAAGCCAACGCAACGGCCGAAGCTACAGCCCGAGCGCCGAAAACGATACACTTTACTTTTTGCAGCGATGATGCAGCTTATGCATGAACCCGCCCTGCTAGAACAACGCAGGATCCCGTAGGAAGGACCATGCACGGTTTGAAGTAATGTCTCAACTCCGATAAAATGTATACATTCATTCAAAATTATTCACTTGTCACTCCATTTGTTACCTTGTCATACCCCCAAAAAGTTCTCAGCAGCGCTTTCCTGGCGTGGGGCCTGCGGTCAATCCAAAACCACGAACATACTAAAACGCCAATTCGCGAAAATGAACGATATCAAAAGTTTTGTTGCACAGAACGACCACGGCAACCGACGTGTGGCTGCTGTTCAGTCACTGAGAGACAAAATTTGAACCATTATCGTATGCTGTGGCCCCCACTCGCCCAGATCCACCCTTGCATTCCTTCTGGTCAACCCGTCTAGATTTTATTCTCTGCACCCCGGCGTTCCCGTTCGTGGCCGCCTGTTCTACCCATTGTAAGTGCACTGGTAATCTGGACTCGTCTACCCACCTCTCCCGACTCTTTGCGCCCTAGCCAGGCCACCTCAAACCGAAATCGCCAACGCCCCCAAACCTTAGGCAAACACCAAGCAATGTCCAGGCAGGCAACCACAAACCCCTTTCTCGTACTATCCATGACGTTCACAGCACCGGCGGTCTTCCGAGGATAAACACCCTGTCTCCCGGGTGCAGCACCGTGTCGGCCCTCGGGCCGGTGTAAACGTATGGCTCGGGCGCGTTGCGCGTGCCTCGAGCGCGAAGAAGCGCAAACGCCACGCACCTGCGCGACGTATAGATCGACGGCGTTGTGACAACGGGAACGCACCAACAACATACATGTGGCGAACAAATTGCTCCTGTCGTCTGACTTCGACCAGCACCCTTCCATGCCTGCGTTTCACCCGAGGTTTCGTCTTCTCGTGTCGTAGAGGCAGTCGCGCAAATACATGGTGTTTGTTCTTTAATGTTCATGACACATATGAATAGCTGCTGCAACACGATTTGCAGTTGCACGCCGAATGAAGCAAGCAACCGTTGTCCCCAACCATCAAGACAGTGGTCCTAAAACACGCCTGCACGCCTGCCTGCCATCAAAGCATATCTCTCAATGGAAGACTATCACCTCAAGCGACATTTCATGATCAGGCGGAGCGTGGGCCATCAGGGAGAGCAAGCATCCCACTCAGCAACGAAGTCTTGTGAGCTCACCTCAGCGGCGGAGCGGCCAAGTGTTGGAACATCTCCCCGAACGAGTGGCCGAGGAGGCTCGGCGGCACGGCCATCTGCCTCAGGCAGCACTCCCTGCCCAGCCCATCTCCCTCCAGTCCTGGTGATGCCCCGGTTTCCGAAGGAGAACGGGTCTCACCTTGATTTGGACCCTTGAGCCCGCGCAGGTTTGCAACCACGGGAGGCGCAGCCGCGAACGGAATGTGAGACACTGGTAGGACACGTCTACGCGGATGGAAAGATGTGTATCATTGGTTGACGAACGCTGATTAGGTCGTGCATGCCGTCGAGTCTCAAGCCCAACGACATTAACCCAAGAACGACAGCCTGGACATCGACCGTACAACCCTCAGTGCGATGTAGTGGTCTTCTGCAGCCACCTAAATCCCCAAACAGCGAGTATGGGCGGTCGTGGCAAGCCTTGGGTATCATTCGACGTGAACGATATCAGGGGTCTAAGTGTAGCAGACGTACGCTTCTGAATATACCTGTTTACCCAGCAAACTATCGTCAATCGGGTGCAGCAAGCATGCACAAAAGCATCTTGGTACAGTACCGCCTAATTGCCGGGAAATGGGTAACGGGACACCACAGCGTTCCTTCGCTCACTTGCTTGCGGTACTCACAAACCGAGGGAACGACACGATGGTACACGACAGGCAAGGGAAACGGCTACGTCAGATCCACAAACCGATGATATCCGTGAATTCTACGATAATCTCGAGTCTGTTTAGCTTTGAAAGAACGACTTGTCTCACTGTTTTCACCTGTGGCGGGGAACGCGAGGCCATCCCCGGTTGCTCCTGCTGTTCCCCCCGGGCCAAGAGGAGCAGGCGATTCAGAAGTGCGATCCTGGTAGCGGCAAAAGGGCGATCAGAGTAAGGCAGGTGAGGCATGGTCAAAGGAGGTGGGCCAAGAACTATTGGTACACGCCCACGTGACCAAGGCGAGGATTCGTGCCGCACCATACAAAAAAAAAAGGCAACGGCGGAGAAAACAAAAAACATGGCAACGGCGGAGAAACAGGATAGGAGATTGGCGGAGCGTCTGCGCCTTTGGGTGCTGCGCCGCAAAGAGGAGTAGTCGTCTATGACTCGCTCGCCTATGTGTTCGTTATTAGACTGTACACGGGGGGCATACTCTTGCCCAGCTTGTTCTCAGGCGCCACGCCACGTGGTACTAAACACGCAGCCGCGCAAAGGCATGGCTAGAGAGGAGCCGGAAGTGATAGGGCCGTACAGCGGTGGGGGGGGGGGGGGGCGCCTACCGGCTACCTGAATTGATGAACCAAAAAGGGGTTAAATCAAAAGCACCTACCAACAACCCAAAAATATCCGGGACCCCCCCCACCCAAAAAAGAAATAGGGCTGGGCGGGCCTTAAATTTTTTCGGGGGGGGGGGGGGGGGCTTTCCCCCATCCCCCCCCCCCGAACGCCGAAAAAATGGCACCCCCTTCACAGCAAAAAAACCAGGGGGGGGGAGCCCCCCGTCTCCGGAAAAAAGGGGGGTCTCCCACCCGGAAAAA